ACCAAAGCATAACTCCGGTGATACATAGCATCAAGCATTGCCCATCAAATAGTGGCACAACTATTACTGAGCAAGTGAGGATGGGAAGTTGAGATCCACAGGCACGTCTCCTGGCATGCATGCTCACGCAGCCTCACATCTCCTGGCACGCACGCTTCACACTCCCAGCCCATGCCGCTCACACATAGACCCCACGTCTCGGCATGCACGCCTCCATCTTGGCCACGCACCCCACGTCCTCCCAGCACGCATGCCCTCACCATTTTCCGGGCACAGCGACCTCACGTCTCTGCACCGCATGCCTCACCGACGCCCACGTCTCCCAGGACGCACGCCCTCCACTCCCTGGCACAGCAGCCACATTTCCCGGCACGGTACCTCCACGTCTCCCGGCACGCACCCCAGATCTCTGGCACGCACGCCACGCTTCCCCGACACGCACCCCAGATCTGGCACGATGCCACGTCCGGCACCGTACCCCACGTCTCCCGGCACGCACCCCAGATCTACTGGCACGCACGCCACGTTTCCGGCACGTACTCACTCTCCCGGCACGCACCCACAGATCTACTGGCACGTCAGCCACACGTTTCCCGGCACGTACCACGTCTCCCGACAACGCACCCAGATTTACTGGCACGCACGCCACGTTTCCGCAGCACACACCCCACATCTCCGCAGCCCGCACGTCTCCCGGCACACACCCCACCTCTTCGGCACGCACCCCACGTCTACTGGCCACGTATGACATGTCTCCCGCATGCACCACCATGCACGACCTACGTCTTCAGACACACGCAACCTGAACGTCTCCCGGCACGCACCTACGCAGCCCACGTCTCCTGCTGCACGCCTCCACGTCTCCCGCCACGCACCCCACGTCTCCCGCACGCACGCTCTACCATGACCACTCTCCCTGCATGCCGCCACGTCTCCAGCAGACCACGCTTCCCGGCACACGCCTGCCAAACGCATGCCGACGTCTCCTGCATACACGCCTCCACCGTCTCCCAGCACGCACCACGTCTCCCGCAGCCGCTCACCACGACCACGTCTCCTCCATGCACGCACCCCGTCTCCCAGCACGCACCCCAAGTCTCCCCGCACGCCACCCCAGTCTCCCGGCACGCAGCCCTCAACATGACCCCACGTTCTCGCTGCTGCACGCCCTCGACGTCTCCCAGCACGCACCCACGTCTCCGGCACGCAGCTACGCACCGACCCGACGTTCCCTCCATGCCGCACCCCACGTCCTCCCAGCACGCCACCCCACGTCTCCCGAGCCACCAAGTTCCGGCACCGCAGCCTCCACGCATGACACGTCTCCCCCCTGCATGACCTCCACGTCCCCAGCACGCACCCCACGTCTCCGGCAACACCGCCCTTACGCATGACCACGTCTCCTGCATGCACGCCCTCATGTTCCCACACGCACCCCACGTCTCCCCACGCACGCCCTCACGCACGACCCCAGTCTCCCTCCAATGCACACCCCACGTCTCCCCAGCACGCACCCACGTTCCGCACGCACCCCAAGTTCTCCCCGGCACGCGCCCTCACGCATGACCCCGACGTCTCCCTGCCCCATGCCACCTCACAGACGTTCCGGCATGCACCCCACGCTCTCCGGCACGCACGCCCCTCAGCATGACCACGTCTCCCGGCCACGCACGCCCTCACCATGACCACGTCCTCCTGCATGCCGCCCTCCCAGTCTCCGCGGCACGCACGCCTCAGAATGACCCCACGTCTCCGGCACGCCACTCCACGTCTCCTCGGCACGCACGCCTCACGAATGATGCACGCACCCCACGTCTCCCGGCACGCACCCCACGTGTCCCTGCATGCACGCCCTCACGTCTCCCAGCACGCACCCCACGTCTCCCGGCACGCACGCCCTCACGCATGACCCCACGTCTCCCGGCACGCACGCCCTCACGCACGACCCCACGTCTCCCGGCCCAGCAGCCCCTGTCTGCGCACGTCCCATCGGCCGTGGCCTGGTCAGGAGGGGCGCGCGCTAATCCCAGTGGCAGACAAGCCACACGGACCCCACAGGTGCCTGCTGCCCGAGAGGTGCCCCGGGCAGAGGGGCCTTGCCCGCAGCAGGGTGGCGACGCGACGTGCGGCCGGCCAGCAGCTAGCGAGGCCTGACCGCGCCCAGGAGAGACGGCGGCTAGCTGCGCAGCACGCGGACGCTGGGGAATGCCCAGCGAGACGCAATTCCACCCATAACATCTGACACCGGGGAGCAGATATGAAATCCTTATAGGTTGTTCTTGTTTACTGTAGAGTGCTCATTATTCCAAAATTCAGTTTTTTCCAGAACACCTGAGCTAGAACCTGCGCACATGCAGTGGCATCAAATCCATCGCGCTTTCGCACCGGCAAGATTAGGGTGGACGCTAGGATGGCGGGGACCTGCACACGCCGAGGACTGGCTCTGCCGCTTCCACACGACATCTCCCTCGGCTCGAGACACCAGCAAGCCCGCCCACGCCACACGCCATCAACGCGGCAGGAGACGGCGGCCTCCTGTGAGCACAGACCCGGCTCCTACTGTCTGGGCCTCTCGCATACGTGCACAAACCCCGGGCTTTGCACTGCCGGGGAAACCGGCAGTGGATTTTTAGCGGTGAACTGTGTGTGTTCATGCTTCACCTCTTTCCTCAGAGGAGATTAAACAAATAACTTCCCTTGCGTGATCTAAGGGCCCTTCCCACCAGCTGCCCGCTGTGCGCGTCCAGGTACTTGCGCCACGTTCGAGTGAGGTGTGGCAGTCTGCAGCAGGGAGTGAGCAAGCCGCTTTAGACACCTGGGCCCTGGGCTCGGGGCCCGGGCACCTGCAGAATAAAGCAATGGGTGTCCGTTCACTCATTCATTCATTCACTCATTCGTTCTCATGCCCATGAGGGGCGGCTGACCCCAGGCTGCCACAGGCAGGCCCCTGGGCGGTGTTCTCTGAGAGAACATGGCTGGACAAATCCCAGACTCCACCCCGTGCTCCGAGGCGACAGATGCCGGGATAAACAGCCAGGCGGGGTGAGGGCTGCAGCGGAACAGGGAAGCTGGGGCCTCCTGAGAAGGGAAGCGGCGGCCCATGCTGGCTTGCAGAGGGGAGAAGCAAGCCCAGTAGGGTGGTGTGCCCAGCAGGGGCCAAAGGGGGCTGAGAGACGAGAGAGGTGGAGTGCGCATGGCCACCCAGGGGCCAGGCCTGGGCCAGCGTGTGGGGGAGGTGGCTTCTCTGTCCCTGCTGGATTCTGACTCTTGCACAGCTGCTAGGCCACGCCTCTCAGGGCACGTGGCGCTGCCGAAGCAGGAACTAGGAGATCTGGACTCATGCGACATTCCCTAGACATGTTGGCCTTCGGAGCTTGGCCTGTCTGAGCTCCTGATGCACATTTCCTGGGGCTCAGGCCCGAGAAGGGGGGTTCCTCCCTCTGCGTCCGGTGGGGTCATAGCTCTTACACTGTCGTAATTGCTGTATTGTATTATCAGCTGTTAATCTCATACTCTGCCTGTTCATAAATCAAACCTCACGCTAGGTATGTACAGGAAAAAGCAGTGACAGGGCTCAGCAGTATCCGTGGCTCCAGGCACCTACCAGGGGTCCCGGAAGGTCTCCCCGTGGATAACGGGGGACAACTGTGTGCCAGAAAAGGTATCTGGCTCGCGGTGGCTCGGGGAGCCCATCCCTGACTCACCTGCTGGGCGCTGAACTCGGGCAGCATCACGCAGGTCGCGCCCACCCAGAGCGGGCAGAGCAGCTTGTTGACCACGCCGTGGACGTGGTGCAGCGGGAGCACATGGAGGATCACGTCGTCCTTCGTCCACGCCCACTTGTGGACCAGCCCGGTCACCTGCAGGGATAACAGCACAGCGTGGAGCAGGAACTCAAGGCCGCTGCTGCTGCTGCACCACGCACCGACCCGGCTCACAGGTGGGCACCACACACTCCCAGCCCAGGGGAGGAAGGGGAGAGAGCCGGCTCTTTGCTGTGCCTCCCGCTACAGAAACTAAAAGCGGGAGGACTGTGGGACATCCAAAGATCTGCTGGGGCACCTGTGCGCCCCAGGGATGCCCCACAGGCTTCCATGAGCTCTGGGGCAGCAGAAGGGGCAGAGGTGTGATTTCAGCACCAGCTCCGCCCCACCCAGGCCCTGGGGCTCTGGGCCCAGCATTGCATCCGTGCTGACTCCTCCCTGGAGGCAGGGCCTGGGCGCACCCTGGGCTCCACTGAGATGAGAAAATGAGTGAGATGCGCCCCCCCCACCAGCAGCTCCCCCCTCCCATCCTCGCTGGCCGGCTCTCCAGACAAGCCCGTCCCAGAGGTGAGGACACAGGAAGCCGGCTGCGCACAAACGCGATCTGCTCTCAGGCTGCCAGAATAAGCCCTGGTTTTCGGTCCTAATCCCATAGGCCGAGTGTGTGGCTGGTCTCTTTAAATCACCCCCATCATACACAGCCGTCCCTTCTGACCTGAACACGCCACCTGGTCCTGGTGGGCCACCCAGGGGACTCCCCCCCATACCTGCTGCTCCGCCCCGACCCCTGCCTCCTGCGTCCGGCCGGTGGGCACACCCTACGGCCAGCGGTCACCAGCATCCCACACAGGGTCGTAGGGCAGTGACCGCTGCAAACTGCCCTACGGAGAAAGACGAACCGGAAAGCGCTTCCGGCCCTGAGAGCCCGCCCAGACTGACGCCGTCACTGCGTGGGAAGGACGCAGCAGACCCCCTGCGGGCGCGGCCCGACACTCACCACGGCCGCGACGTTGCGGTGGGTGCTCAGCACGCCCTTGGGCCTGCCCGTGCTGCCGCTGGTGTAGATGAGCATGGCGCCCCGGTCCCGCCACTCCTGCTCCCGCGCCGGCGCCGCTGCGGGCTCCCCTGCCGCGCCCTCGTAGACCGCGGGCGTGAGCGGCAGCAGCGGGACCCCCAGCCTCCCCACCAGCGGGCTCAGGCGCCCCACGTGCTCCGGGCCGGCCAGGACCACCGAGCTCCGGGAGTCCCGGATGAAATACTCCAGCTGGGCCTCGGGGTGCTTGCGGTAGAGGGGCACGGCGACGCCGCCGCTCATCCACGAGGCCCACTGCGCGACCACGTAGGACACGTCGTTGGAGCACAGGAAGGCGACCCTCTCCTCGCGGAGGTCCCCGCCCGCACAGCCGCGCAGCTCGCAGATCTCGCGGGACAGGCGCAGGCTGCGCCGGTACAGGTCCCCGTACGTGTGGCTGCCGTGCCGGTCAACCACGGCGACTCTGTCCGCGAAGGCCAGCGCGCGGGCGAACACCGGCGCGGCCCTGTCCGTGCAGACCGCGGGCGCCGTGTGCAGGAGGCCGCGTCCTCTGCGGCTCAGCCGAGCTGGCCTGCAGGACGCCAAGGCACAGGCCAGCCGCCGGAGGGACAGCGCCAGCTGGGGGGCCATCGCAGCCGCAAACATGCCCCTCGCGTTCCCTGGGGCAGCGCTGGGGAAGAGAGAGCACAGCACGTTAGCACCCACCGGGGCCTGTCCGCCCCCCCCCCAAAAATATCAGGCCATTAAACATGAAATGTCCGATTTCAAGTCAAAAGTGTAGTTTACTGTCTCAGACAAGAAGCAGTGCAGTTGATCAAAGTGTGCGCCTAAACTGTCCACACAGTTTTGCCATCTTAATGGTGGCTCGTTTATGCCAGCAGCGAAGCCCAGAGAGCGAGGGGTGATGAAATCGTGAAAGGCATTTTCTACAGTTTGTTGAGAATTGAGTATTTTTTTCTGGCAAGAAGAAGTCCAGAGCCTGGAAGAGGTGGTGGTCAGTTGGTGCAAGGGCTGGTGAATACGGTGGATGACAACAGTTTCCAAGTCCAGCCTCTGTAGTCTGAGCAGTGTTGTTTGTGTGACATGTGGTCTAGCGTTGTCCTGCAAGAGTATTGGCCTGTCTCTGTTGACCAATCTCAGCTGCTTAATCGCAAGTGTCATCATTTCATCTGAGGACTGAACTCTGATCTTTTTATTTTGCTAAAAACTCCTTCCTAAGGAGGCCAGCTAGGTCAGGCTGACAAACAGTAAATTCCCACTAAGCATTCCCACTAAGCGGGGTGGTTTACTTCCCTACCTGATTCTGGTATGGCATTAACATCACCTAAAAGATAAGAAGCCCCTGTCTTAACTCAAGCATCCTAGCAGATGCCTATCATAAATTTAAAATATCTTAAAGTATCCTAGCAGGCACCAAATGTAAATTTAAAACATCCTCCTGTCTGGACCTCCCAGAGTGCTCACAGCCTTATCTTAAAATAAGCATATCCTTTCTGGTCTTCAAGATAAAGTCTAACTCTCTCAGCCAATTGCCAGCCAAAGAACCTTTAAATTCACCTATAACCTGTAAGCCCCCGCTTGGAGATGTCCCACCTTTTTGGGCCAAACCAATGTCTGCCTCTCATGTATTGATTTGTGACTTTGCCTGTAACCCCTGTCTCTCTGAAAATGTATAAAACTGAACTGTGACCCAGCCACAGCGAGCCCACTTGCTCAAGGCCTCTTGGGCAGTGGCTCCAGGTCATGGTCCTCAAATTTGGCTCAGAATAAATCTCTTTAAAATTATTTTACAGAGTTTGGCTTTTTTTCGGTTGACACATCCAACTGGTTGCAGGAGACATCTGCTGTCGTCAGCTGACCAGGTTTCATAAAGCTGTAGTGGGCAATACCAGCGCTGGACCACCAAGCAGACATCATTGGTTTTTTTGGTGGATATTTGGTTTGGGACTGTGTTTTGGCACTTCACCTTTATCCAGCCATTGTGCTGAATGCTTGGGATTGCCAAAAAGAATCCATTTCTCATCACACACAACAACATGGTGTAGAAATGGTTCACCTTTATGTCATGGCAGCAAAGAAAGGCAAACTTCAAGATGATTTCTCCTCTGGTGCTCATTTAATTCATGGGGAACCCATCTATCCAGCTTCTTTACCTTGCTGATTTGTTTCAGATGGTCCAATATTGTTAGAATAGTAATGTCAAACCTTGCTGCTAATTCATGTGTAGGTGGAATGGATTCGCTTCCACTACAGCTTTCAGCTCATCATTATCCAACTTGTTCTCAGGTCGCCCACGTGGCTCATTTTCAAGATTAAAATCACCAGAGCAGAACTTCTCAGACCACGGACATACTGTGTGTTCATTAGCCACATCTTTCCTAAACACTTCTTTGATATTTTGAGCTGTCTATGCTGCATTGGTTGCACAATGGAACTTATATTTAAAAAATAACACGAATTTTTGACTTATCCATGGCTTCACAAAAATTCCTCTAAAAAAAAATTTGAAACATAATCACAAGCCAAACTGTGCATTTGAAAGACTGATATACCTTCACACTTAAAATAAAACAAGAAATATGAAAGTGAAACGTCAGATCAACTGCTTTAGTACTTCAGGAAATTGGACATTTCATACCTAATAACCTAAATTCCCAAACAGATGACGTCTGCCCAAGTTGGGGAGGTGACATCCTCCCACGTGAAATGCTCACACTTACACAACACTTTTGAAATCCAGATGTCCAATATCCCAGCTTTTTTTTTTTTTTGAGATAGAGTCTCGCTTTGTTGCCTAGGCTAGAGTGAGTGCCATGGCGTCAGCCTAGCTCACAGCAACCTCAATCTCCTGGCTCAAGCAATCCTTCTGCCTCAGCCTCCCAAGTAGCTGGGACTACAGGCATGTGCCACCATGCCCAGCTAATTTTATATATATATATTAGTTGGCCAATTAATTTCTTTCTATTTATAGTAAAGACGGGGGTCTCGCTCTTGCTCAGGCTGGTTTCGAACTCCTGACCTCGAGCAATCGGCCCGCCTCAGCCTCCCAGAGAGCTAGGATTATAGGCGTGAGCCACCACGCCCGGCCTCCAGCTTTTTATTTGACCTCATTAGTTTAAGGATTTCAAAACCATAAGAGGTCTGATAACAATGAAATAACCCAGGTAAAACCAAAGAGAACCAAATAAATCCAATGTATTTAAGGTAAATTCTGAATGATGTTACACAGGGGAGGGGTGGATGTTCCATTCCAAACTAGATGACAGCATCGTGACAAGGCGGACCACCCCCCACCCCACCCCCACGCTGAGTCCCTGCACGGCTGTTTCTACGCATTCAGAATGTTCTTCCTCTGAGAAATCCTCACTTTTCCTTCTTTGGTTAACTTGCCAGGGGAAAACTAACGTGTTATTGTTTGTTGTACATACCAAACAGTTTTGCTGTCTGCTCTTAATTTAAAAAGCAGATTGTACACAACACTTTATAATTATCTAACAAAACAAACAAACTCCACGACAATAAAGACTGTCAGAACCAAATTATGTTTTGTGCTGAGGCTCCCCGGGAGGCGTGGCAGGAGGGCTGAACGCAGCCACGATCTCAGCTGCCCACGAACACGCAGGCCCCGGGATCGGCCAGCCAGGGGCCCGTACATGCACCTTTGTGGACTTAGGGAAGAGGCACCTGCCGCCTCCCGCCCAGGCTTCCGGGCCACCGCAGGGAACTATACGTTACGCAGCAGGGAGGGGACGGTCAGCAAAGGGAAAAGGAGCAAAGGGAAGAACCCCCTCTTCCTCCCCCCTTGAATGGGCTTCTGCTAACCGGGAGAGGGCTTGTCGGCTTCAGAGGGACCAGAAAACCTTGCTTGTGTCTTTAGCACAACCCCAAAATTAGAAATGTCGTCATGAACCCTATATTCACAATGGGACTGGGGAAGGGTGAGGTGGGCACACCTGGGAGAAGTGAAGAAACCTGCTCGAGGCCACAAAACAAGGGAGGCACCTGGCGGCCCCAGGGCCACATTGCAGGCCCCCGAAGGGCTGCCTCCCCTCCTGGGGAGGCCGAGTCTCGGCTCAGCGATGGGGGACGCTTCCCCCACCTCGAAATGAACACCAGGCAAAAACCCTGAAAATGGGAAAGGCAAACCCTTTGTTCCCATGGCTGTATTTTAAAAACTTACCCTAAGGAAATAGAGATGCATATAAAGACACACAGGATGTTCAGTCCACTGAATTCACTTCTTTATGATATTGAAAAACTGGAACTAAACCAAGTGGTCCAGGAGAATCACATTTTGCACACGCACACACACATGCATGGGGTGTTACGTAGCCGCTAACCCAACTGCAGAGCGGTGTGCACTGCACTGATGGGAAAGGTTTCTTGCAACATTACTGAGGGAAAAATACAGTCATCATTTAGTAAAAAAAAGACTTGAGGGGTGAGCACCCAAGTGGTCACAACAAGAATGCTGGGTGATTTCTGTTTCCTTCCTAGTACTTCTCAATTTTTTCCAATTTCTCTGCCATAAGCATGTATGACTTTTGTAATCAGAAAAAGAAAACGTTATTTATTTTCAATGTCATTTATTTTTTAAAAATGAAGATGCTCCAACTCCAGCATTAGTATTTTGTTTCATACAAAAAAGAAAGACCAAGAAAATACTTGTTATGGAAGGGGGACATACAAGACATTTGTATTAATAGTTATCTGCAGCTGTTGCTCTCAAAACGACAGACAAACGCAGGTGAGACGCCAGCTTCCTCTAGCAAAAGGGCTCGGTAGAGCCAAGCAGACCATGAGGAACCATGGTGAGTTCAAGCGCTCCGAACTCACCTTGTTCCGACAAGGTGAGTTCAAGCGCTCACCCAGCTTGCTGCCGAGACACGGGTCCCCTCTCCCCTGCTCTACCACAAATCCCTCGCCTTGTGACGTGGGGCCAGAGCCAGAGTGGCTGACCAGCTGCTGGTGGCATAAGAGCAGGGGTGGACTGTTCTCAAGCTCAGAGCTCGGCGGAGCTGCCCAAGTGATGGGCTGGGGACAGGGCAAAGCCCTCAAAGTGCAGGTTCCCCGGGCAGAATCCTCAGCCCTGAATCGCTGGGCATCCTCTAGGTACCGCGATGAATGGGCTCTGTGTGAGACAGATGGTCCTGGCTCCAGGGAGCCCACGGGGTTCCAGGAGACACCAGGGCGGGAGGGACAGTAAAGCCAGGACCTGAGGGGTGAGGAGCAGCCAACGTCATCTCAGCACTGATGACGGGGACGAGGAAAGTCCTCCCATCTAAGGCTGTGCTCACACAGGGTGTGTGTGGAACAGATGTCAGGAAGTGGTGCTGCTGGGACGCCTTCAATTTTGGTAAATATTGCCAAAGTCCCCTCCAAAGAGGTCCTGATTTATTCTCCCACCAAGCATGTGGGAAGTGGGTAGCCCCATCAAACCAGCCTTTAAACCTCTCAGGTATGAGACCCTGAACCACTCAATCATAAATTCTTCCAGCTCAAGTCTTCAAGGTCATCTGGATCAGAGCCCTACCTTGAACAAGCAAACAAAATCCACCCAGGGCAGACGGCCGTGAACACCTCCAGGTCCAGAGAGACCCACAGCTCCCGCAGGGAGAACCCCCACCTTCTAACCCCAGGGACCCCCCTTTGATGTGGGGCTCCCCTCACCACCAGCAGCACAGCTTGGCGTGACACTGCCCACCAAACAAAGGCAGTTCAGTCAGGGGGTTCCATCTTAATCAGCCCGCTTCACGCACCTGACACTCAGCACGCTGAGTCCCCTGAGTGGAGCAGTGTCACCATAGGACTATGTGCAAAACCTGTCAAAAGCTAAGGAACGCCCGGGCGTGGTGACTCACGCCTGTAATCCTGGCACTCTGGGAGGCCAAGGCAGGCGATTGCTCAAGGTCAGGAGTTCAAGACCAGCCTGAGTAAGAGCGAGACCCTGTCTCTACTAAAAAATAGAAAGAAATTAATTGGCCAACTAAAAACATACAGAAAAAGTCAGCCAGGCATGGTGGCGCATGCCTGTAATCCCAGTTACATGGGAGGCTGAGGCAGGAGGATCGCTTGAGCCCCGGAGTTTGAGGTTACTGTGAACTAGGCTGATGCCACGGCACTCTAGCCCAGGCAACAGAGTGAGACTCTGTTTCCAAAAAAAAAAAAGGTAAGGAATGTGTGTGAGCCTGGACAGCCTCTTCTTGCTAAAAACATCATGTCCTCTAAGATTTGGGAGCCACTGAGAGCAGCTGCTCTCTGATTCCCCCAGGAGGGAGGCAAGACCCCAGCTGGAGACCTGGGCAGAGGCCCCCAAGTGCTGTAAGCACCAGATTCTCAGATCAGACCAAGATCTGGGGCCTTTCCGGAACTCACGTCCCCTACCAGGAGCAGTGCGTCTTTCCTTCTTAGCCAGGACCCTGCTCAGAGCAGACGTTAGCGTCAACACAGACCTGGACCTGAACGGTCATTCTTTTTATCCTAGTTTTTTCACCTAAGCCTTCCCTTCCCATCTATAAGGCGGGATGAGGACAAGACTTGCCTCACGGAGTTCACAAAGAATGGGTGCCGGGCGGGCACCGAGTGGAAAACAAACGCCCGCCATTGCTGCAGGGCGCTCACCGCTGAGCCTAAGACAAAAATCACTTGATAAGAACGATACTTGCATTCAAATGAAGGGAGCTGGTTTCGAAATGAACAAAATGGCACCTGATCTACCCAACACACCTGACCCAGCCACTCTCAGAATTCGTGTGCAAAGAGGACACCGGTACTTCCTCTTGCTTGTGAACTTGACCGGGTGAGCGGCAGAGGCCTCTCCCTGTGGTGCAGGGTCTGTATCCAACATGCTTGTGGTTTGGGGAGTTGTTTCCAAAATTATATATATATATATATTTGTGTGTGTGAGACAGAATCTCACTCTGTTGCCTGGGCTAGAGTGTCATGGCATCAACCTAGCTCACAGCAACCTCCAACTCCTGGGCTCAATCGATCCTCCTCCCTCAGCCTCTCGAGTAGCTGGGACTACAGGCATGTGCCACCATGCCCGGTTAATTTTTTCTATATATTTTTAGTTGTCCAGATAATTTGTTTCTATTTTTAGTAGAGACAGGGTCTCGCTTTTGCTCAGGCTGGTCTCGAACTCCTGAGCTCAAACGATCCTCCCGCCTCGGCCTCCCAGAGTGCTAGGATTACAGGCGTGAGCCACCACCAAAATTATTAAGTAACAGGCATTCACGTTGCATTTGTGAGCAGTACAGTGGAGTAAAAAAAAAAATCAAAAGGGGAAGACACACTTGAAACCCATATCCATTTTAGGAAAAAATTCCATTTTAAAAATATAATCTAAAAATAAAATAAAAAATATGTAGATAATCTAGAAGGGTGACACAGCTACCCCAAACCCACAGTTTAATCCACCAGTTCTGTCTTAAAGAGAAGGTTCAGAGACAAAGGGTGGGAGCAGGGAGGCCTTGTCCTACAGCAGTCACAGAACGCTGGGCTCTGCCACGTGCCACACCAAGCGGGTCACTCCTTGGCTAAAAATAAATCTCCTGCGTCCCACGCAGGTGCCCCCCCCCTCCAGGGCCCGGCATTGAGCACCCACGTCCCACACGCCAGGCAGGTCTCAGTCTTGCGCCCCTGTCACCAACATCCCCACTCCGAGGCGGAGAACTCAACAACACCCTCAAACACACAGTGCTTGTTCCCCTGCTGAACACTCACCCTCTTCTGTTTTTGCAAATTCCCAATCACCCTTCCAGGCCCAGCTTAAATGCCACCTCCTCTTTAAAGCCCCGGCTCTCTCCAGGGAGTGGCTGCTGGCCCAGCCTTCAAAATAGGCTGCACTGACATGCTGCCTTGCTTCCCAGTCCCCCCACCCCCCAGGAGCCAGAGCCGCTGCGAACCTCAAACCTGGACCCCAGGGCACCCAAATAAAGCGGGGCGGGGGTGCTTCCAGGATGGCTTCTGCAGCCCGGTGAGAAGTGGAAACAAACTTATTATAGACACAACAACGTTTCGCTCTAATGAGGACAGGCTGGGCCGGCGTCCCCGCCAGGAGGGCACCCGCGCGACACAGCGACACCCGCGGCCCAGGACGGCCGATGACCCGCCGGGCGGGCGCGCCAGCTCGTGGCGGGGCCGATGTCCAGACTCGTCTGCCCGGCCTGGGCGGGGGACCAGGCAGGGCAGCCGGGCGATGGACGGCCCGAGTTGGGCAGGATGGGAGCCTGCGCCTAAGGGCGCGGAGGCCCGGGGGCGCGCGAGGAGGCCGGGGTCACGCGCGGAGCTCGGGGGCGCGCTCTACCTCGCCGGCTGGTCCTTCTCGTACAGCTGCGCGCTCGCCGGGGTCAAGCAGAGGTCAGGCCGGGTCCGGCCGGAACTGCGTCCGTCGCCCAACAGCGTCCCCCGCGCCAAGCGTCCGTCGCCCAATAGCGTCCCCCCGGGCGCGGCGCCGCGGCGGCGGGTTCCGGGCCGGCCCGGCGAGTGGGTCCTGCCTGCGGTGACCGGGCAGTTGGGGCCGTGCTAACTTTGTCAGGCGCGGTGGCCTCAGCTCCGAGTCTCGAGCAGCCTCTCACGTGAGATGTAGCCGAAAAACGACCAGCAGAACAGGCGCAGGGCCGGGGCTGTAGGAGCGAGAACTCCGAAACAACCCGCTGATGTTCTCACAGAGCAGGAAACAGCGTAGCCCTGGGAGTGAGATCAGGATGCCCCGAGAAAGAACATCCCAGTAACACAAGGAGGTCATGGAAGTTACGACTACAACAGTCCGAGTAAAAACCTCAGTGGAAGTGCTGGAAGATACAGTTAGGGAAACCTCCCAGAAATGGAACAAAAACACCAAAAACAGGAGAGGAAAGATAAAGTCAGTGCGCCGGATCAGGAGGTCCAACGTGCAAAATAATCGTATTTTCAGGAAGGGAGAGCAGAAGGGAGGGAGAAGAGTCAATCATCAAAGAAATTCAGGAAAAATTAGCAGCACAAAGGGCCACAGAGTGCCTAGCACAGGGAGTGGAGGCGAGGCCACAGCAGCCAAGCAAATGTTGTCCAGACGTGTCAGAACACGGGCAGAGAAGGCCCTAAGTGCCTGCTTGGCATTGCACTGGGATGCCCAGGGGACACCTGGCCCTGCCGTGGGACCGCAGGAACCCAGGTCTTGTCCCAAGCAGCTGCCACACCCCAGACTTCGCCAGTTGTCTTTGTTCCTGGGGCTCAGTCCTCTGGCTGCCTCCTTCCTTCCCACCCCAAGTACCGTGTTTCCCCGAAATAAGACCTACCCATAAAATAAACCCTAGCAGGATTTCTAAGCATTTGCACAATAGAAGCCATACCCCGAAAATAAGACCTAGTGGTGGGCATGACTATGCAGCGTGTCTGCACAACCCATGCATTTCGCCACGGAGCAGTAAAGAAGACAAGTAGCCCTTCTCATCTGCCCCAATGTGACAGCTACTATCCCAGAGGTGACCAGAAAGGTGCAGGCAGCCCCACCAACAAGGTTGGCTCCCCCTGTCAGGTCCTGGCCATCCTGTGCATGCTGTAGGCTGAGGCTTTGAGGGGAAAATAAGCCCTATAGTGTCTTCTTAAGGAAAAATAAATATAAGACCCTGTCTTATTTTGGGGGAAACACGGTATTGGCTTCTGAAAATTCCTCTAGAAACTGACCCAGGTGTCACCATCTCCACTGCATCCACCCAGACCCCAGGAGACCCTTGCTCCCACCTGCACTCCTGCCGAGGCCTCCTCCTGGTACCCCTGCTGCACTGGCCTCTCTGTGTGTTCCCAAGGCAGCTGCGGTGGCCCAGTCAGAACCTGATCAGCACCCACACAGGTCCTTCAGCCACCCACAAGGCCCTGCCTCGGGCCAGCTCCCTCCTCTCTGGCTTTGTTTCCTACCCGGGGGACCCCAGCCTGGCAGGTCGGGCAGGTCATCTCCAGGAAGACCAGTCTGATAAGGTACCTTGTGTGTTTACTACACTGAGAGGGGATTGGAGCAGTGCAAGGACAGTTTGGGGTAGATGATGGATAGAAAACTAATCAAGAAAATAAGGCAGTGATTAAATAGTGGGAAAACAGACGTGTTTCCCAGCAAAGGTCAGGTTATTGTGTGGTACTAGGGGGCATGGTTGTCAACAGCATTTGCAAAACTACAATAATGTAAACATTTATAACATAAACATTAACTAACGTGCAAACACTGAGGTTGACCTGAGCAAGTTTCCCTCTGGCTCTGGGGGGAGGGGTGTGGGATGGGAAGGTGTGGGGTGTGGCCAACAGGAAGGCCAGTGATGGCCACGCAGGTAAACGCCGGGAGAATCAGGCCAAAGTTGCCACCTCTGGTGAGCAGAAAAGGGAGGGGGCTCTTTAACCTGTGAGGATTGGCTGGGTACGGTGGCTCAGGCCTGTAATCCCAGTACTTTGGGAGGCCCAGGCGGGAGGATCACCTGAGGTCAGGAGTTTGAGACCAGCCTGAGCAAGAGCGAGACCCTATCTCTACTAAAAGTAGAAAAATTAACAGGGTCTGGTGGTGTGCACCTGTAGTCCCAGCTACTCGGGAGGCTGAGGCAGAAGGATCACTTGAGCCCAGGAGTTTGAGGTTGCTGTGAGCTAGGCTGATGCCACGGCACTCTAGCCTGGGCAACAGAGTGAGACTCTGTCTCAAAAAAACAACAACAGGGTTAGGGTTCCCGCCTGTAATCCTAGCACTCTGGCAGGCGGATTGCTTGAGGTCAGGAGTTCGAAACCAGCCTGAGCAAGAGTGAGACCCCGTCTCTACTATAAATATAAAATAATTGGCCAACTAATATATAGAGAAAAAATTAGCCAGACATGGTGGCGCATGCCTGCATTCCCAGCTACTTGGGAGGCTGAGGCAGGAGGATCGCTTAAACCCAGGAGTTTGAGGTTGCTGTGAGCTAGGCTGATGCCACGGCACTCACTCTAGCCTTGGCAACAAAGCAAGACTCTGTCTTAAAAAACAACAACAACAACAACAAAAAAAAAAAACAACCCAGCATAAAAGTAACTTCCTAAAAACTGAAATTTGAAAATCAGAGCACAAAGTTGTACGCTAGGATTCCTGACTGTGCGGGGCGAGCTCTGAAGGACACGTGACTGGAAGCAGCTACCCTCCAGGGAGAACTCCCGCCCTGTGCCCGGCCCCGCGCCCTGGCCACCCGGGGGCTCTGTCGGCCTTTGCTTTGGGAACTGGCCCTGGTTGTGAAGGGCTGTGCCTCAGTGGCTCAGAGCCGGAGGTCTGTGTCCCGCGGAGGCTGAGCTCTGCTGCTCTTGGAGCCCTGCGGGCCCCTCCCGCCTGTCCCCAGCCCGTCCCGAGCCGGGGTGCACTCGGGATCTGACTCTGGAGGAGAGGTGACTTGAGAAGTGATCTCTCATGCGGCTGGGGAGAAATGGGGTGAAACTCCACGAGCACTTCCAGCCGGGAGCTCCTTGCGAACTTAAGGAGCGAGATGAGCCCCGGATGAGCCCCGGACGGCCCCCGGACGGCCCCCATGTCCAGGGTGCGTAACGGTTCTGCCTCCAACGGCTGCTGTGAGGATTAAGGAGCCAGGCCAGGTAAGGCTGCTAATAAACATGAACTGCTGCTACTTTTCCCTGTTGTCATAGCGTCTTTATCACCAGCCGCCCAGAGCCCCGGAACAGGTGCTCAGCAAACAGATGTGGAGTCACTGGGTGGTCTGCCCGGTAGCCAGACAACAGCACCTGCCTGCCGCCACTGCGGCCACCTGTCGCATCTCCTCACCCCACGATTTGGGTGAAGCTCAGGGCAGTCTCTGTCCCCACCTTGGGCTCAGGCCCCCCTCCCCCCACCAGGTGTCCCTGCACCTGCCCAGCCTTTCCCGGAGGAAATTCTCTCTCGGTTGGAGTGTCCGGGAATGTGGGGAGGGGGAACGGCAGGCACCTCCCTCACAGCTCCATTCAATGAGCCCAGACTGCTGGGGGTGTCTGGGTCTCACCTTTTCACTGGATGAAAGCCACACAGATCTGGCCAGCAGCCGTTTGCACACAAGGGGAACTTCTGCAAATCGTGAACACATCACTTCCCTGCGGCAGCCGCTGAGCTGTCCGGCTGCCACGCTGGAAATGGGTCAGCCCTGGAAGCACTCAGGTTCCATTTGCTCGGCAGTGACTCAGGGCAGAGGGCTGGGGCCCAGGAGTGGACTCAGGCAAGGCCGGGGTTCTGGCCCCGCCAGCCTCCCAGGTGGCCCCACTGGGCCCTGCCTCTGGGTCTGTGCTCCGGCCTAAGGGGCCCTCCTTCCAGCACTGTGGAGGACTCAGAGGCCACAGGAATTTGCCGGAAGACCCCAGGGACAGCCAGGGCCCCCTCCTGCAAGGAGCTCAGCCTCAGCCAGGCCGCTGCTTCTAGAAGTCTCCTGCCCTCCCCACCCCAGTCACCAGCTCACTCTGGCCAGCGTCACAGTCCCAGGCCTGGTTTGGAGGCCCCAGGGCCGGCCCCACCACCCGGCGTGTCAGCATGGAGCCCGCTGGCTGCTCTGGGTTCAGGAGACCGTGATCAGTCCTGTCCTGCTCTCTCTGGGGTCACACCCTGGGGGAAGCCAGCCCCTTGTCATGAGGATGCTCAGGCAGCCCTGAGGAGGGCCGCAGCCCCAGCCACGCCCTCGGAGGAGCTCTGAAAGTTCTGGGCATGGCCTCCGGGTTTCCAGGAACCTGCAGGGGCCTGACCACGTGCTCATGCAGGTTCCTAGAGCCACGGGCGTGAGCCTTGGGCAACAGGCCCTGCAGCCCAACTTCTCCCCGAAGGCTCCAGTGAGCAAAGCTGAGTGTTGGGGCCACACGGTGGACCCTGGCATGACATGGGGCAGGCCCAGCAGGACAGAGCCCTGGTGTGGGCAGCCGTGACACCAGCCAGGAACCCAGTGACATTCTGAAATGTGTCTATGCTGTCTTTCTACAGCTGCATGTGCCTTTTGCAATCGTAACTTGAGTTGTAGAGCAATCTGTGTTATAACTCACTTTCCTACTTGGTATATCATGAAGTCTGGGTGTTGCAATATGCCGCCTACAGCCACGTTTTTTAAGCCACTGGCCACAGAATCGCTTCCTCCTACGGGTGGGGCAGTCCTGGGAAGGGTGGGGGACTCTGTCCCACCCCGGAGGTCCAGCCCCTCCGGCTGGGATGCGTGTTCTTTCCTCTGCTGAGGACAGTAGCGTCGGCCCAGGTGCCCGGGCAGCCTCGAAGACCAGCCCTCAGGCCGGCCACGAACCCTCTGCCTGGTGGACCCAACTGCCCTTCACAGCCACGCCCAGCACAGACCCGAGATTTCACTTCCCAGTCGTCCCTGGGGGTGGGTAGCGGCCGGTCTTGCGGGCGGAACATTCCGACGCCCACGCGCTGCATGCTTCAGC